GGCGCTTTGGGGTTTATTTTTTGGGGGGGGGCTTGGGGAGGGTGGTGGTTTTTTGTTTTTTTTTTAATAAAAGCTTTTAGTTCATATGACTTTGGGGAAGGAAAAGCAATCTTTCTGATATAAGAAGAAAAAAAAAAAAGCGTGGTGGTGTTTGCCAAGGTTTACAGTCCAAAACCAGTGCTGCTGCTTAGAGCTTTCTGCAGTGCAGCAGGGTGAAAGGTGACCCAGTATGTCATTTTTTCCATCTCTCTCTTTCTCAGCTTATCTTTGGACAGCTGCAGGATAAGAAAGTTTTGAGCAATAACAGAGGTACTAGAATGTCTGGTGGATTTCAGTATGCAGTTTATACTCCTTGTAAAATAATAATAAATTACAATTACTTTAAGCTTTTTTTTTTTTATTATTTCAGGAGGCTACGAACCCCCACTTACAAATGTCTTCACAATGCAGTGGTTTCTGACCCTCTTTGCCACTTGCCTGCCTAACCATACAGTTCTGAAGATCTGGGATTCGGTATTCTTTGAAGGCTCTGAAATTATACTGAGAGTAGCTTTGGCTATCTGGGCAAAGTTAGGAGAGTAAGCGGTCATTTTTATCTGATTTTTCTTTTCAGTATGAGCAATGTGTGTAATTTGCATTGTTCTGAAGAGCGTGTTCTCAATTCTAAACAAGATGCAATCCTTCAGGAGAATGATTCTGCTTTGAAAAAGCTGCACAAAGTGCCTCTATGGCTTCCCCAAAAACACATGCTTCTGACATCGTGTCAGAATGGGCATGATAATTGACCCTTGCTGCAGAACATGTCTCCAGTTGTTTGCGTTGTCTGTGTATAATGTCTTCATGCTATGCTAAAAGGTTGGTTGAACTTTCCAGAACATAGACCTCTGAGGGAGCTGGTAAATACTCTGTGGAAAGACATACAGAGAGACTTGAGGGTCACTAGGTAATTTAATTGGGTACCTGAAGCTGAGGATGTTAATTCCCTTTTTTTCACTTAAGGAGACTTAAGGATTTGAGCCCATTGGATATACCCACGAAAAGAGTTCAGTGTTACTAAGAGAATGATTTAGTGTTACACGGTTCTTTTCTATTAAGGCCTACAAACAAATTTTCCTGAAATTCTGCTTTTAAGCACATTCTAGCCAAGTTTCTATTATAGTCCTTTATGGCCTTGGAAACTCGCCACATAGGACAAAACACAAGAGATGGTTCTTCTAAACCCCTCTGTTGTCATAGCAAATATTTGCATTCCAAAGAGTGTACAGCGCTCCTGGAGAAATGAGTTTTGTCACTGACTTCAGTGGGAGGTGTGAGCTCTGGCAGGTTGAGCAGATGTTAGTTCAGCTGGAAACTTTTTTCAGCTGGAGTCAGCAGCTGCGTCAAATTTTTCTTGTGATGCCTATCAACACTCACCTTCCTTTTTTCCCTGAGACTGAACCACTGGGATTTATGTTCAGCTCTGTCCTTGGAGGTTTCATTTCTTTTTTTTCCTGAATAAATTAGCACTGCAGGCCAGTAGCATTGTAAGAGACTTTGTTTAGTATATTTTATTTTTAATCTGAAGAATAATAATTTCCTAAGAGCTTTATTTGTTCAGTTTAAGAATGAAACTTGCACGCATCATTTGCATTAGGATTAAGCTATATGTAGTCCTATTGTACTTTATTACTTTGTACCATATCTTTAGATAAAAGGTCCTATTGCAGTGGGTCTCAGTGCACTTAAAAGCTGTAATTAAAAGTGTTCCAACTCATGATAAAAAAGAAAGTCACTGCTCTCAAGATTTTACTGTAAAACTTAAAGCAAAAATGAAACATGTTTTATGAAAATTGGAAGGAACAGAATGAAGAAATCTATAAGAATATGTCCAAAAGAATAAGCTGATCACACTGCACACCTTGTAACTATTGTTTGTGGGGAATGGGAGAAGGTCTGGCAGATTTGGGGGCAATTAACAGAAACGGACACTGGTGTGATAACTAGAGATCCAGAAGACGATGAGTCACTAAAACTGAACAAGAATTGAAATTCAGTAAGCTTGTGATTAATGATATCAAATGAGATGAGGAAGTAAAAGATTGGGCACTATGTCTTTGCTGGGAGAAGATTGTGGCTTTGTTCCTCTTTCTTCTCTGCTAGAAATAGAACGGGGGGATTTAAAGAAGTGGGGCCTGAAACAGTGATCATAGTCTCATGATCTTCGTACTTCTCAAGACTATCTTCTAGACATGAAAATGGGGCGAGAAGTGCTTTTCCTAAATTGTGGGTGGTTCAATCATACTTCTGTTTTGAGGGAGACTGATGGAATGGGGAGGTTAAAAATAGGTGCAGTAGAGAAAGTAGTATGTGGAGGTCATGAGAGACTGAAGGTATCAGGGAAGGTAAGCAGTAATTTTTTGATAATTGGCTACATACCCATTGTTTCTATGCCTTTTTTTTTTTTTTTTTACTAAATCATTCTTTTAGCTAAACTATGTTAAGATTTCAGTAGGAGTTTCATAGTTCAATGGTTGCTCTCTACAGACACTGAAGATCAAGGGAAGCTTCCTCTTTTAATCCTTAAGAAAAAAGGCTGTGTATTTTTTTTGATCATTCCAGCAGCTGTATTTTACAGGGGAGGCTGCAATATGTAGCCAGCAATGCACTTGTTTGGGATAGAAGTAAAACAAATTTTTCACTTGATGGCAGAAGATGTTTAGCGGCTGACCCTAATGTATGTAAAACAGCAACTCACAAAAGCATATTACTCATATTTCTCTTCCTCTAGCTGACACTCTGTGGGTGATTCTGTGTTTTTAGAAATTTAAAGAAAAGTGTGTGGGGAAAAAACAAAACAAAAAAACCAACCAACCCCCCAACAACAACTTGCTCCTCCCCCCAAAGAACAACACCAAAACAAAAAACCTAAAACCAAAAAAAGTCTGCATTTCTAATTTAGAAATAGCTTTCACAAGTATGCAGGATATGAGTGAATTTTCCTTCATTCTGCATTATGTGAGCTCAGCTCTTTTGAATACAATGACATATATAAATACACCTATACTTAATTTAGTCCACCAGAATGTTTTTCTGGCCAGCAAATATGTTCCAGTCTGACAAAAAGACAGTTCAAGCAGTGAATTCAGCCGTTTGGTGTGTAGTGAAGAATGGGTGATGAGGCAGTCAAGAAATCTTTATGCTCCCTTTTTGAGCTGATGGGAGAGCTCCCCTATGCTAGTAGGAGACAGGATTTATTGATTCTCTTGTTGTAGAAGTGGAAGAGGCAGAGGGAATAACCTGTCTGGACATGCATGAATCCTTTATTGTGAGCAGTCAGGACAGTAAGCTGCACTCAGTACATCCTTTTATTGCACCGGTATTTCCAATGTGATGTGCACAGTTTTATTATTTAGAAGTGTAGGGAGGATTGCAATAAACTTAAACATTAAGGTGACTAATGGAAGCGCATATTTTGTAATGACAGAAAGTTCAGTTTTGGTTTGGAGTTGTATAATCATATTTCAGAGTAAAATAGAAAAACAACATGTATTTTTATGTAGGCAAATAGAATGTTGTGAAACTGCAGATGAGTTTTACAGTACCATGGGCAAGCTGACCCAGGAGATGCTGGAAGACAGTCTGATTGACAGCAACGAACTCATGCAGGTGAGTAATTGTGATACAATTATTGTTTGTGTTTTCTGTGCATCCTTTAAGTGCTGATTTCTAACAGATTACATTTTTGTTCAGATACTGCAGAAACCTAAACTCTCCCAAGAATAAAAATTTAAGATAACTGTAACATGAAATAAATAGATGACCTGCAGTTGAAGCTAAAATCTTATCTTATACATTAAGTATAGAGAACCACTAGGCTCCATTTGATAAAAATTGGTTGTATGTTGACAGCTGAAAGTTTGTTGTGATATAATGCCAATTGGATTTACGCAAGTAAGATGTAGAATGTTTTAGTAGTCATAATTTTTAGGGTGTTTTATTTTTATGTTTTGGCCAGTTATTTATTACATTGCGTCCTTTTCATTCTGCAGACACTGTGGGAGACAAGAGTTCATCAAGTCAGAAGGGAAAAAAATATCCTTCGTGATTTAAAAAAAAAAAAGCCATGAACAGTCGTCAGTGAACTATAAACAAAGACATTTGTAGATAATTGCAGACCCTGAATTCTTAAAGCATACATCATTGTATGAGAACAAAGGTCCACATTGTTCTGGGAAAGGAAGGGGCCTTTAGTATTACAGATGTAATTGTATTGATTTGCACTCACAGGTTTTTTTTCTGATATCCTTGAAGTGTTGTCTACTTAGATGTTTTATAAAGACTTCATGCTACAGTTCTGGAACTTTGCTTTTGATAAGTTAAGGTATGGTGATTAAATGGGTGAAAATACAGAGCACAATTCATCTGAAATTTTTTTATCTGACTTAGGGGAAGGAAAACAAAGTCAGTCTCGGTACATGAAGTTGGATGAGTTTATTACAGCAGTTAGCAGGTGACTTCTGTTACCCATTATTGGAAGCAAAACTTATTGACTGTCTGGGATAATACACTTCCATTGTCTGGTGAAGTACTGCTCTGAAGTAAAGAATCACTTTCAGATTTTTGGCTTTTGTTATTTCTGTTGTTTTGGTTAATGAGGGAGCTCTAGGAATCAGAGAGATGAGCACTATGGCTTGGTTTTGCTTCAAAAATGGAAATGCAGCTGGTCAGAGGTACTCACATGCTTTTTAAATAAGAGTTAAGGTTTCTCACAAGGCAGTTCAGATATTGAGGATGCATGAGGGGGGTGGCCCGAGCTGACACCTCATATTCGTTGTGTTTCAGCTCCTGGTCTCAAGTGCAGTACAAAATCAAGGTGTGGCATTTGTAACAAAGAATAATGTTGGGAAAGCTGAAGTGGGCTTTAGTGACTCAGTGTGGATTTCTTTCTTTGCTGTTGTATGTAATAGAAGATAAGGCTTAGGTAACTTACTGGTTGGAGGGATGGAAGGATCTTTTTGGTTTTTTAACTGTTGCAATTACAAGTATAATAAATAGCAGTCTTTTTGTGCTTCAGCAAAAAATAAGCGTAATAAATAGTCTTTTTGTGCTTCAGCAAAAAATAAGCACTTGGTGCAAAGTATATGTGTTTTCATAGTGTACATGTGTATTTTGTGACACTGACAGGAGCGTTAAGGTAGGATAGCATTGCCATTGATATGGATGATGTGGCAGGTTTAAGTTTTCTGCATAGAGAAGCAGTGTGTCTGTTTTCTGTGTGTCCTCTCAGTTGAAGAAACCACACTATAGTTTAGATAGCATTCTCCAAGTCAAAGGCAGTCACTGGCAGTGTAGCCATCTCCATCTGAGGTGTTCACTCTAGGCTCTTTTTACTGTAAGTGGAGAGAATTGGGCATTACAAGTGTTTACCATTAGTGGATATGAATGCCACCATACACCTGGCTGCTGCATTTGCACAATTTTCTCTGTGTTGGAGAAGAAAATAAAGAAATATGAACCATTGCGTTAATGAAAGGATTCAGGCTGCTTGAAGATACTGTTTTTTAAATTGCTTTAGGCTTTTTCAGAGCAGTCAGCCAGAGATGAATGTTTAGACTGCTTTGTTCTCAATTTTTTTTTTTCCCCCCACTAATCAAAATCAGAATGGTGAATTTACATCTAATGCTTTATACAAGGTGGCTCAAGGATTAGTACCCTACTGTGGGAAAGGATTAATATCCTACTCTGCCTTCCCTACACATTTCAGTAAAGGTTGCTGGTGGCAATCATCTCACTTTTCTTTAGACTTGCATGACACTTACATTTGCATCTGAACTACCTGTCCAGGCTCACTTAAGCCAGTGAAGAGTAACAGGCACTTCTCCGCCACTAGAAAACAAATTGTGCTCTAAAAGACCTGTTTCCTTTGGGAGTTGAGAGGGAGGTATGGCTTCAGGGGCAAGTGTTGACAGAGCAGATGTCTAAGTAGATCAGAGGACTCTTGTCCTCGTTCTCTCCACCAGCATGTATAGTTGGTGCAAGTTTAGCATTAAAAATGCCTGCCTCCCTCCCTCCCATGCAGACAGTACAAATACCTAGGATTGAGGGCTTAAAGCTTTTGCAGATTTGGCCCTTGCATGGCTAGAGTTCTTAGAATGTTGTGCTGAGGAGAGCATGGAGGGATTGGAGGAGCAAGCAAGCCTACAGCTTCCTCCTTTTTCAGATTGAACAGTTTAGGTAAATAAAGGGTAAGTGCTGTATGCATCAGGTGCTAGACCGGGTGTGTATTCAGGACTAGAAGTTAAACAAATATGGTATTCAGTAATGTCATTTTATTGGCCTATTAATAAACTCTTGTTCTAACATGGAGACAGAAGACTGTACGCTAGGTGTCTGCAGGTGTTCTAAACAGCGTGTGCTAGATTGAGTACACGCTTTCATGCCTTCTCAGAAAGTGAGCATTTTTAGAAGCAGCTGAACCAATTCAGTTTGTAAGCCTAGAAACATTCCAGTGTAGAGGAGATGAGAAACAAACAGGAAAAGGAGAGGCATCCCTCTGTGTTTACTGTGGTGGAGGGGAACAGGGATTAATCCCTCTGTAGTACCCTAGCATTTTAGACTATCTCCTGTAGACAGTTACCCTGATTTGATGGTATTCACTGTTAACTTTCTACCTGAGTAGCACTTTGTTTTCTTTTGGGTTTGTTTTTGTTTTTGCTTTTTGTTTTGTTTTATTGGTGAAAGTGAAAAGAGAGAGGAGCCTTAAACCAGTGTGGGGTAGCTCTTGAGATAAGTGTGCTTGAGCTGTCTGCAAAGGCAAAACTGCTTACTCTCTCTTGGAAGCCACAGCCCAAAACCTTCTGTATGGTATTCTGCTGTAGATGGCTTTGCATTTTTAGGGTAAGGCAAAGGATTGACAAATGCCACTGATTTAAGGTGAGAAGAGAGGTTTTTTCCTTGTCTTTTTTTTTGTTCCCAGAATCTGTCCCTTATAACCATAAATAAGATAGTAAGTTTGGCTGCATCATGTTTTGTATGTGTAGGCTGTTTCCCTCTGGCACAGTTTCACCAGAATTAACCAAATGGGATCCAAGGCTGTGGACAAACTGGGAACAGGATGCTTTGACTCTGAAGCATTGCTGTGAGGAGATCACAGGTGTTGATTGAGAATATTTTTTTAATTTCCAGTGGAACTTGCATCAGCATAAAATTTGTTTGTGGATCTCTTAGCCAGGTGGCAAGCGAGGCCTCCAGTTATAATCTGATAACAAGTAATTAAGTTAAAAACATGTATGCTAAATGAAAGAAATTGCACAGGATCTGGAAGAGACACAGACTGGAGACAGGCAAAAGCTAAAAGCATAATCTAAAACAGTAGCTGCAAGGAGTAAATGGAGGACTCGGAGTCGACTGTTTTGCTTAAAGGGTAACTAGCATATGGAACAAGTTACCTGAAAAGGCTGTTGACATAAAGAGTAGAAATAAATTCCAGACACACCTCCTTCTCTGTGAAGGGAGGGAGTTGAGACATAAGGGGAAAAAAAACAGGAAAGTGTGGTGGAGATCAAACAAACAGGCAGACATGTTGGGCCAGAGGTTGGTCCTTCTCCAGATCATAAAATTCCTTCGTCTGGTAGACTGCCGGGATATCGCTGTTCAGGCCCTAGAGAATATTTGTCTCTCACAGTAGCATTGTAGTTTCATGGAGTGGCAAAGCTTCAGTTCATGCTCTGGGTTTTTGTAGGCATTCTCCTTGCCTCAGAGTCTGTGCACGGCTTGAACTGTAAAAGCATTTTCACACAGAAGCCTGCTGAGCTGCGCTATTGCCCTGGGCCTGATCCAGCCGGGAGTGCCCTTCCTGCTCCTCATTGCTTACATCATTGCCGTTGGTGAAACACTTCCCCCCTCCCCCCCTTTCTTCTGTCAGGACAGGTCTAGTACTGAATTCATGTTTGCGATTTTCCTTAGTGTATTTAGCACAGACAAGGCATGGTTCAAGAATGGATTATTTAGAAATTGCTCAAAATTTCCTTTCATCTTAATTGAGGCTGTTTTGCCTTCAGATGAAAATGTCACTGACTTAATAGCACAGAAAAAAAAAAATATAAGTGAACTTTCTTCTGTCAGGAAAGGTCTAGTACTGAATCCATGTTTGCGATTTTCCTTAGTGTATTTAGCACAGACAAGGCATGGTTCAAGAATGGATTATTTAGAAATTGCTCAAAATTTCCTTTCATCTTAATTGAGGCTGTTTTGCCTTCAGATGAAAATGTCACTGACTTAATAGCACAGAAAAAAAAAAATATAAGTGAAGATTTTCTGTCATAGCTAATGAGAAATTTTTAGGTTACTGCCTTTCAGAAGACATTTAATATTCAAGATGGGGAAAAGCTATGATTTTTCAGAGAAACTAAGAAATTATATTTCAGCTATTTTTTTCTTTTTACTTCTGACATTGAGACTCCCAATGAATTGTGTGTCAGTTATTTGAAAGTCCTGAATAGTTGTAAGTGTACAAAACCGGGGGGGAAAAAAGGCAACTAAAATAGGTAGGAACAAATTAGCAATGATGTTGCAATGAATATGATGTGTCTTTATGCCAGGTTGGCTGGTGACACACATTCTGTTACTACAAAATGACTTAAAGCAAATGCATTTGCAACTATTTATCTTCTTTAACTCTGAGTATTGAAGTAAATAAAACGTATTAGAGTTTTTTATGGCCTTGTTTTAAGTTTTAGGGACTACATGTTGAATTCAGAGTGTTGCAGAGAGGTTTCTTTGTTCTCCATAGAACAAATTTCTTTAAAAAAAAAAAAAAAGCAACCACCACCACCCCAAAAAAACCCCAACCCACAAAACAACAACCAAAACCAGAAACTGAGAGGAGAAAAGTTAGCTGGATAATGTTGGGTCCTTCCTCTTTGGCCGTAACTTTTGTGTTGAAGTGATTTCCTTCACACAAGCTCTTGGGGCTGCTCAGGTGAAGTAATGGATCTGTTAACAGTCCACATCAAGTGAGGATCTGCTCCTTCCTATCTGTGCTAGTGTCAATACCTTGTTGAATACTTGAGCTGAAACGTAAGTCTTCTGGAAGATCCCGAAAACCTCAATGATGCATTCATGTAAGTGAAATCATAATTGGAGGAGGAGGATTTTCGGTGTGCTCGCAAGGAGAGGATTGACAATGATTATTTAGTAAGTACAGGAGTTGAAAAGGACCCTACATCTCATGTTATCTGTTCCATTTTTATTTTTTTCCTCTGAACCATGTATTTTTCTAGTGAGTCAGTCTGTTTTTCTTACAGGAAACACTGACTGAATCATAAAACTAAACCATTTCCATTCTCTTACAGCACATGAGAATGTGCAGCCTTTAATCCTGCAAGACTGTGAAACTGTGTCCATGGAGAAATCTTTTGTGGGACTGTTAGTTAAAGTGACAATTTTAAAAGCTGCATTTTTTTTTTCCTTAGACTGTTTATACCATGGCTCAGTTTCCCTTCCCACAACTGGCAGAATTAAGGGAGAAATACACGTACAACATTACTCCTTTCCCTGCAGCAGTAAAATCAACTTCACTTTCAGGGTAAGTTTGAAATGCACTGCTTATGGCATATAGGGTTATTGTTTACCCTACACAGATAGTGACAAGGCAGGTGGCATCCTCCCTTGTACGCTCCTAAAGAAGATAAAGATGTTTGGTAATGATCATATTTAAGAATGTCTCTTTCTTATTTCTCTTATGTTCTCATTTGACAGAAGGCTAGGCAGAACCAGAGACAGTGATGAGGAGAATGACCTAGATGATGAAGACTCAATTGCCAATGCAATTGGCTGTCTTGGACCATTAAGTGGGTTTTTGGCACCAGAGCTCCAAAAATACCAAAAACAGATGAAAGGTAAAAGTGCTTTTGTTCATTTTGGGTAATGTAGTTAAATCTGTACGACCTTGCAGAAATCGTCTGTAGCTTCCTCTGTGAAAGCTGCTATGAAACTTGTATTTTACATTCACGTGGAGATTACAGCAGGTACCAAATGGCTTGCTCTGTGGTCCATGAAGATGTCTTCAAAGTCAAGTTTGAAGGCTGTATGTATACAATAAATGACAGTGTGGGTTAAGGATTTGTCTACAATAATGGTTAAAAAACCAACCCCATAGTGTTGCCCACCCACAAAAAAAGAAGCACGTGTGTGGAAAAAAAAAGTCCACCCTAAATCTATGCTTATTTCCAAGAAAGCTGTTGGGTAGTCAGCATTTTCTGAAGAGTGTACATGTAATAAATAATCTTGATGTTTATTAGCATATGCATGGCTAATATTGGAACCTGTCAGCAGTGAGTGAATTCTGCAGGTCATTTCACCACCCTTTTGGCAAAACCTTCAGACCGTTGTATGTCTTGGGTATATTCACATTTTTATAAAATTGGGTATGGTTTAGGGTGTGACAAAATGTCGCTATTTTTTCAAATCCCTCCATGTTGAAATAAAATTTCTGACAGAATTGTATGTTCACCTGTGCAAGCTCTACAAGCAGAACAAAATTCTGATCCATACAAGAAAAGCAGATCACTTGTTAACTTGCAGCAGCCTTTACGAAATGGTACTGGATCAACAGTGATTTTATGATATCCTGGGAGAGGCTGTAGTTATTTATCCCCAACCCACCCCCACCTTTCCCCCCAAAAAAAACCCAGACTGATGTAGCAGTCGCTGTTACCTGATTACACATCATCATTCTTGTGGCTTGGTTTTGTTGAGACCTATAAGCTGCAATTTTCCTCTTGATTGCTGTGGTGTTTTGTTTTTCCCTTCCTGAGGGACTGTAAGTCTCTACCTGCTGCTTCAAGCTAGCACTTAGAACGTCAAACTGCTGTTGCAAACTAAGCCAAAGCCAAACAACCATCCCTTGAAAAAGAATTATCCCCTTGACCCTGGAGTCCCAGTTTGGTGGTGCATCAGAAACAGCTGCGAAAATAAATTGCGCTGCTGCTGTTGCTCTGCAGCTGTTGATCAGAGACGCTCTCAAGTTGCCTGATCCTCAGCTGCTCTGTGCCTATCCCTTTTGTCGCTACTAGCAGCTTTCTCCCTGTGGTGCTATAACTGTTTCTTGATGCTTCTTGCTGGTATCACTAGGTCGGTTGTTTAATCTCATGCCTGCGTAATGTATTTTATAACTCGCATTGTTAGCCTCCTCTTTGACCAACCGAGTGTCTTTTAATAATCAGTTTCTGAATTACTTTAGTGGTGGCTAGATGCGCTTTTGGATAATTGAAGAACTGTGCTTATAACTTTGCATTGCTATGTTAATTGACTTTTGTACTCTTCACACTCCCCTCAAACCTTTGCTATTCTTAAGCAGTAGTTCTAGAAATGTAATACTTCTTATTATAAATAGTGCAGCTTTGTTAAATATGCATATTATAATAAACTTTTAATTAAAGACTACAGTTAAATAAGACGATAGGAATCAGACATAGATTTCCCTTGTAGATAGTCTGCTGAACTCTTGAGTATGCCAATTTACTCCTCATCTCCACTTTATTCCCACTCTGTGCAGATCAGAATGAAGAACAAAGTCTGGGTTCCAGTAACATTGCAGAATTAAGTCCAGGAGCAATAGACTCTTGCCGAAGCGAGTATCATGCTGCTTTTAACAGCATGATGATGGAGCGTATGACCACTGATATTAATGCACTGAAAAAGCAATATTCCAGGATAAAGAAGAAGCAGCAACAGCAGGTTCACCATGTGTATATCAGAGCAGGTAACATATGAAAACATGCTTCACTTACTGATTTATTACAAGCTAACTTCACCATAGGAGACAAGGCAAATAACATTCTTTTACGTTTAACCAAATAGACAAAACAAGAGAGACTGATGGAATATATAACACATTAGTAGTAAAGTGGGTACCACTTCCTACAGACAGATTTTAAATGAGAAGGTGATGTTTTTTCTTCTTTTGTCAGGATCTGAGGATGATGACCCCGGGATTTTTTTAGGTCCCAGGGACCAGCTGAATGATGGTATTTAAAAGTGTCTTTGCTATCTGGGTGCCTTGTGTTGATCTCTCTGATTAAAAAGTGTAAATCTTTGGCATTCTTGGAGTTGACATACTGATGCACTGGAAAAAGTGAAATGAGGAGATGAGTACACTTCAGACCAAGTGGCAAGTAGATTCCTAGCTGGTCCATATTATCCTAACTCCTCTGAGTTCATCCAGGCATGGCAAATTACGCAGCTGAAGAACTGGCTTAGATGTTCCATTGTGGCTAGCAGTTTACCTAGCCATAGTGATACTGCTGTGAGGATTGAGCTGGACATCAGCCCGTTATTTAGCAATCCGTGTTACGGAGTCTATTTCCCCAACTGGCAAACTCAACGTGGGGGGTTAGCATGAACAGCGCAGCTGAAGGTTTTAGTGGGTGTGCAAGCTGAACACAACCCACCCCACTCATTCCTCCCCACTTAGGTTCCATCTCTCTAAGTCAGCATTGAACCATGCAGATGGGTCACTGTGGAGAATTTTTATTCCTTTTCTAGATTGTCTAAACCTGTCCTAGCAGGAGCATTTGAACACATAGAGCTGCAATTTTTCATTAACATAATTTGTAAGGAATTTTTTTTTTTTAAAATATTGGCAAAATATTTGCTTTGAACAAAGGCTGTAGCCAGCAGAAACAGTGCAAACAGTAAAATGTTGATTCCTGAGGATTGCCAACCCCCACCCCCCAAACACAAGCCTTTCTAATCTTACTAATCATGATGCGGGGCTGGGTTTGTGGTTTAATCAAACTGTCATCTAATTACCTAATTCTGATTCTACTGCTCTGGTTTAATAAGAGGACCTAATAGAAAAGAGATTTATCCATTAAAAATACATTGGTTCATTCTCTAGTCACACAAGCCTCATGGCTTATTTGACTGACCTCGTATAGGGACTGAATTGCCTCTCATGGTTGGAAGAGAAATGAAGGAGAGGGGAAAGATCAGAAGCCAATATTAATGTTAAACTATCTGTTACAGTGCAATTCCAAAAATCAAGAAGCTATTTTTGTTATGATTTATTTTCATGGTATTCCTGGCTCGGGGCTTACCCATACGTAAGAAGCAGGGAGGGAGGACAGGAAATCTTTATTATAGAAGTTACAGCTTTGTGTTTGACTCCAAGATGTAAGAGAAATTCAGTGATATTTTTTTTTTTTTTTGTCAGTCCTACAAACGTTTGCTATACCTCAAGAAAGGCATCAAATTTGGTGGTGGATCTTTAGAACATTAATTAGTTTTGTTCTTTAACAATACTGTGTTTCTTTTAAACACTTTTTTTTTTTTTGTCTCCTACAAACGTTTGCTATACCTCAAGAAAGGCATCAAATTTGGTGGTGGATCTTTAGAACATTAATTAGTTTTGTTCTTTAACAATACTGTGTTTCTTTTAAACACTTTTTTTCAGACAAAGGGCCAGTTACCAGCCTCCTTCCTTCTCAGGTAAACCATTCCCCGGTGATAAACCACCTCCTTTTAGGGAAGAAGATGAAACTGAATAACAGGTCTCTCAAAAATGCTATTATTCACATCCCAAGTCATGCTACAGGGAAGATGTCTCCCATTCCCCAAGAAGATCTTAAAACAAAACTGAACTCTCCGTGGCGCACTCACATACGAGTTCATCGAAAGAATATTGCTAGGGCCAAAGGCCAGCTGGGCTATGGGGATACCATAGGACTAATAGATGAGCAGAGCGAGAGCTGTAAAACAAATAGTCCTGGTGCAAAGGAGGAGACTTCCAAACATTCTGACTCTGGAGAAAGAGAAGGAGGTGGTTTGGATGACAGGACTACTCGAAAAGCTGACGGGCAGTCGTCTGAGCCAGTCTCTACGGACAGCAGTACAAACATGTCAGTGGTTCAGCTAAAACTGGAAGCACTGGAACTCACCTCAGATAACAAAACCGATGCTGAGTCAACATCCCATCAGTCTGGCCAGCCACGTTTATCAGAGTCCTCCAGTGCATCCAGCGACAGTGGGAACCTGGCTAAATCTCCCCAGCCTGGGAATCCAAAGCCGCAAGTCTTCAATCCTTTTCCCAGCGTCAAGCCTCTTCGAAAGTCAGCTACAGCCAGGAATTTAGGGCTGTATGGCCCCACTGAAAGAACGCCAACTGTACACTTCCCACAAATGAGCAGAAGTTTCAATAAGTCCGCCAGTGGCAACAGTGGGACCAGGAAACGATGATGTACTACCTGGCACTTTCTATTTCTGACAGTAACAAAAAATTTGTATTGCCCTTTTTTTTTTTTTAATGTGTATGTGTGTCCCAAAGCGTTTCTAATCTTTAATTAAGTAATGAGGACAAAAATGGTTACCAGGTGTATAAATATGTGTCTTTGAAAATTGTGCTCCCGTGTTGTTATGGGATAGATTAGTGAAGATGCACTCTGGCACCCTATTGTCAATTCTGATGGTTCGGTGGTAAAATAAATATTGATTTGCAGCGTGAAGCATACCATTTCTTTAAATCTAACTCAGACATAAAACCACTGGCTGCCTTTAACCCCCCAGCACCCCATGGCTACCTCCTGTCTCTTTCAAAGCTCAGAGGACAAATTGTCTGGTGCAGCAGACATGTATAACAGTTTTTATGACTGTTACGCAGCTTCCCCATTAGACCTCATCATCATGCTCTGAGTAGCCGGAGAAGCCATGACTAACAGAAGCACAAGCAGCCCTAGCAATCAAAAGTATCACTTTGTGTCCGACATTACCGCTTACCTACGGGGCCATCTGGCTTCAGACATTCTTGAGCAGCATTTTGTGCTTCTCTTCCCACAGCAGTCCTCTGCGGATACTGTTTTTAATATAAATGTAATCAATGAGCATGAGAATAGCAGGCATAAGTCCATCCACAACACTGGTTTGCTCCTTTTCTGTTACATATGTACATACATCCATTTCTGTTACTGCTGGAGAGTTGCAGCACTGCAAAATTAGGAATTAGGTACAACTATATGCGTAGTTGTATGAATATTATGGCACATCATGGCTTCAGTGGATTTAAAAGCTATTATCTAGATTACAGACTTGTAATTAAATCATATTTGCCAGCTTAGCAGTAGGTAAAATATATGAATGTTCCAAAGTAGTTTAGGGTTTTAAATTCTATAAATAGAGCGATTAGATACTTCGGGTGCCACTTATCATTAAAAGCCAACACATCAGCCACTATGTAAGTGGGATGGACCCATGGGACTGCTATGGGCTTCCATGGCTTGGTTCTGGTTTGGTGTGAAAGAGCAATGGCAGAGCGATAAGCTTGAGTATTTACTTCCAAATCAAAAAGCGAAGTACTTCTTTTTTTTTTTTTTTTTATCCCCCCCCTCTATACATTAGACAGGCAGGCAGAGAAACTAAATGAGAACAATTCAACTTCAGGGTTGCAAGATCAAGCGCTCCAAAAAATTCAGGTTGCTCTTAAAATATTACAGCTCTGCTGAATTGTAGGTATTGACTGCGATTCATTACCTTATTGCTTCCAAGTTTCCCGTGACACGGAAGTGCCATTACTTTAAACTGGAGGAAAAGCAATAATGATGAATCAGTCCCATTGTATGTAATATCTTTCTTCCTCTTCTAAAATTCTTTGTTGAATTTGCAGTATCATTGTCTATTTATTAATGTATCCCATAACCTATAGGATGTGATATCGGTTTTACTGTATACCATAACTTATAAGCTGTACACCATACCCTGTTTATTGTTGTGGGGACAGTTTTATTTTGTTGTTGTTTTATACAAGTGTATGCATATAAAATGATATACAAGTATGAACACTATAAATATAAACCAGACGTAGATCAGATCTTGCCCCTGCCTTATTTTCAGGTTATAGTAGTATTGTCACTAATGATTATTTATAGTGCTAAGTAAATTTACAGTAATGTAGAATTTAGTCACTGATCGCAGACTGTATGAGAATTGTTTCTGCCCTGATTTAGAAGAAATGGACTTCTCAAAATTTTACTGTGCATCATTCTCCCCAGTTTTTCTTAGCTTCAGTGTATCACGCGGCTGTATACTGAACCAGTAAAAATAAAAGGACTGTCATTCTGCAAAAACTGCTAAAATGTTGCAAGTACGTGCATGAATTTTCAACACATTAAGATGTGATTAAGCAATGGAAAATTAGCAAGCTTTGCACGGATATTGGTCTGGGGAAAGAAATGCCAATAGAACACTAATTCTAGCGATTCAGACCTGATCAATAATTGACAAGCGTGCTCTGGGGGTCTTGTACTCTACTCGGGCTGTTAGGATTGAGGCGAAGGAACCACGGCAACACAGTGCATTAGTTTGATGATGTTTGCTGCAGGAAATTTTCTTTAAGTACTGCTAGATGAGAAAACTGAATGTCATTTTAGCTGTTCAGTACCTCAAAGGATGTTCACTCTCTACCTGAAATCTGCCTGTCAAATGTACAGCAAAAGCAACTTCATCACTTGGTACTGAGGTGGAACATTAAGACGAGGTCCAGAGTACCAGGAAACTCCAGGGAAGTTTCCAATTATTTTTCTCCAAAGAATCCCTTCAGCAAACAAGGTCTGGTGATGCAGCTGAGCCTGGAAGTGTAGCCTTGCAACACTGAGGACATTGGGAAGCATGATGGTGGGAGTCCGCTCCATAAACCTCTGCATTTTGTTCTCCTTGAGGCCTCCTTGTACTAATGCTCTCTTCCATGCCGATAAAGGACCTTTCTGTTTGTTGGGGTTTTTTAAAACTTCTTGAGTCTTTTTTTGAGAAAATATTTTATTAGGATCAGATTGACTTTTATTTCTGAGAATGTATTTCACCATCATAAAATGGAAGCTCTCAAGGATGGGCATTTGATTCCGTTTTGAGGACGCTTACAGTCCTGCAAGTGGAAACAGGTCCAAAGCTATTCTGAGATGATTCAAAATTGCCTCCGCTTTGGGGGTAAAAATGGTAGATGGCAGAAATCAGTTTTTCAGAATTGTAGGCAGCAAACAGTTGATTTCATCCATAACTGCAGCTAGGGAAGATATAGTTTTGTATACTTAATAAAAATCCTACCAGAATCCATTCAAAAGAACATAAGTGGTTGCTAGAAAGGCAACAAAACGTTATTTCGAGCAAAAAAAAAAAAAAAAAAAAAAAAAAAAAAAAAAAAAAAAAAAAAAAAAGCAGACCTTTATACTGGTATTTGGTATTTGCAATTCAGGTAAAAGTCCACGTTCAAAATTCAAGACAGACTTTAAATCTATTTCAAACCTCCACAACATGTATTTTAAACCACGTGAAGTTGTTCATACAGAAATAAGGTGGGTGGTTTCACTGTTCTGTAGTTTTCCTGGACCTTCTTGCAACGAGTTACCCGGTGCCCGTCCACAGGCAGCAGTCACACCTGGCTGCGTGGCAGGAAGCCAATGTCATCATCTGACACTTCAGCTCCACTGAAGCATGAAGAGAAAAAAATTAATCCTAACGGATCCCTGTCCTTGTCAATGCTTTGTTTGCTCCAGTTTTACTTGCTTCTTGTTGGCGGAAGATTCGTTGAAGCCAGGGGGTCGTCGTAAGCCCTGCGAGTGATGTGAGATGTGCAGTCGTCCCAGACGAGCACCTTCAGCCTGTCTGTCATCGGCCAGCAGGGACCGGTTGAGTGACTGGTTTCTCAAGCAGCCAGAAACTGCTGTGTTTGGACACCTCTGCGTTGGTGACAGCATCCTTGGGAAGGTGCACTCCTCTGGGAGGGTCATGTGTGGGAAGGGTGGATCCAGCGCACTGCAGGAAAGTGCACGTGTGAAAGGGTATCTTCTGTACATCCTTCCCCACTGAAGAGCCTTCAGGGCTTGCACAAGCTGACTTTGACTGACACGAGGTATTTAACACGATTTAGGACACAGAAGTGGTTTGCAGTGTAAGACTGTGTCAGGCTAGCCGATGCTCAGGCCCAGCCTCCCCCAGCCTGCAGGATGCTGTTTCAGCTGTGCTTCATCCTATAAGCAGCATACAGCACTTACTGGCTCACCGCAGGTTTGAAAAGAACCACAAATGTTTTCAAGACTTTTTCTGATAAAACCTTATCAAACCACACTGGCTTACCACAAATAAGCAGGCAGGCGTGGTGGTGGCGTGGAAGGTGATGCATGTGGATGGAGAGGCTGGGAAGAGGGAAGGAGCAACCCATCCAGGCAAAAGGTGCAAGAGGTTTTGAGGGAAAGCAAACCCCTTGGTGCCTGTGCTTCTTTATAGGTTGGTTGTTTATTAAGAAATCAAAGGATCGGATCCACGATGTGCTGCTCCCTGCCTGTCCTTCGTGTGTTCAGTGATCATGGACTTGCCTGATGCCAGCGAGGAGCCACATCCCGTGATGTTGTTGTCAACCCTCTCGTTAGCCCAGTGGTTGCCCCCAGCCTGCCCTGGCAGGAGGGAGGCACCAGCGGAGAGCCCTCCGATGCGGTTCACTGTGGCTCGGTTCACACAGCGAGCTGTCGAAAAGGGAGCGAACACTCAAATCCCAGCCAAGGCAAAACATGTGCTGTCATTGCTGGCACACCTGACTTCTCTTGGCCCGTGCTCTAAGCCAGCTCTGCAGGGAGGGTGTAGCTATGATGACACTGCCCCCAAACTAGGCTAGTAAGCATTGCTAATTGGCAGGTGTGCCAGGCCATTGCTGGATGGATGTGGCTGTGCAACCCTGGGCGAAGCTCGGCGTGCTATCTGCACTCCACAATGCGGAGCTAGCTTGCCAGCTCAGCCCAAAGGCTTTGGAAGCCTGCGTGTGCTCAGAGCATGGCTTGCACCAGTTTGCAGGGGATCTGGTAGACGTACACACCGCTCAACCCACAGTAGCGCTTGGGATGTAATCCTCCATGTCTGGTTTGTCAGCAGCAGCCTGGCCAGTCTGGTAGAAAGGGCTGCTACATGAGTTGCTCGCTCTCTCCTTCTCTCAAGGGCATGTACAGTTTTCTGATATTTTGTAATTGTTGGTGACACAGGGAAATCTTTTGAGCAGCACCTCATTTTTTGAGTACTGGAGCAGGAGAGACAGGGGTGCTTTCTGTATCACAGCACTCAATAATTTTTGCAACCATTCCTCTCTACGTTTGGCTTGTGCTTTCCCTTTGTGAACTCCCAACCCTTGCTCACATTCATTGACTGTGTGTTTGATGAGAGTTTTCAGGAAGATAAGGATAGCCATGCTGGCTGGCTTAGCCCAGCATCTTTTCTCTGACCACCAATGGTTGGAAACGCCTAAGAAAGGAGTCCTGTAGGAACATGGTGCAACCAGAGACAGCCAGTCTGCCCCACTTGGGGCAGTCATCCGATTTTGTCTGGGTTGTGCATATCACAGAGGTGAGGTGGATGGCCAGGCCAGCGGCTCATCCACAGCAAACCAGCGGCATGCTGATCTGGGCAGCTGCATGCACAGCAGGGACCACAAACAGTAGTTCAGTAGCAAAATTTCCTCCTTCACATGAAAAGAACAATAATAATGGAGACATGGCCAGGAATAAAAAGGGTAATAAACACCAGAAAATGTGAGCCTGAAACAGTAGCTGTCGCTGTGATTCCTGCTCTGTGCCGGTTTGCCTCTGTGGGCTCCACTTGCACTTCAAGCTGCATGGTGGTTCCTCCCCTCCAGGCTGACTGGCCTCCCCTTGCCGGGGGACAACACAGGACTGGCCTGGAGGGATCCTCCAAAGGGGCAAGAGGTGGGAACAGGCTGGAAAGCCTCACAGGCCCTCAGAGAGTCAGACGTGGCTGAAAACCTGGGTCCAGCGCTTCACATGGCCCATGCAGGGATGAAGGACATGCAGGCAGTAGTTCCCAACCAGTTTTTCAGCCCTATTCGGACACACCCAATCCTGCTCCTCCACTGCATGCGTGCATGTACCTTGCTTTCCCTTCCTAATGGCTCTGGTGGCTTCTCCAAATGACACACAGGTATGAACACCATCCCAGAGTCCAGGGCAGGAGCCAGTCAGTGCAGATAGACCACAGGGACACCTGTGGAGGGGAGGGGTTTGGCCGGCAAGAAGGAAGCAAGTTTGTTCTTAGGGAAAGTAGGTAAGGTCTCTAGCGACCATCCAGCATAGGTATAGGAGTCCAATGTTAAAACTTTGAAAGGCCAGTGATTTACAGCTTGCCTGCAAATCAGTCATGCGTGCTCT